GTTGGTGGTGTGATGGTTCCAGCGTGATTCTTTTTGCTCAGGTTGGCTGTGGCTATTTGAGGTCTTCCTTAATTCCATCCCGAGTTTAGGACTGTGTTTTCCATTTCTGTGAATTATGTCCTGGGTATTTTGATAGATTTGCATTCAATCTGTAATTACTCCGAGTAGTACTGTGTGTATTCTGCAGTGGCCGGCTGAAAGGCTTGAACACATTTGAGTTCTTACCAAGGGCATCTTTGCTGAGACCCAGAAAGTGGCGTGGACGTGCTCTGCCTTTGTTGGCCTCCTGCCTGGTGCAGTTGACCTGCTTCCTCCCTGCGCGCTGATTTGGTAGATGGGGCAGCTCATCCACCATTTGCCTCAAAGAGAAAAATATAAGTCAAGCCTTCTTGTCCAGAGCCTGCCTCCTTATTTTTGCCTATTTAGCTTTATAATATAGATATTTTCTGCCCTGACAAACTTTAAAAGAAAACAAAAATCTTACTATTTCCCCTTTCTCTGGTTCTCTGTTCTCTTCTCTTTGCCTGCCAACACCTCTTTCCCCTGTTTTGTCCTTCCACTCTCTATTTTATTTAAGTGGAACAAAACAAAACAAAAAATTGCAGCAGTAGCAAGACCATCACCTCGAAGGTGTCTTTTAATTTAGTGTAGGAGACAGCTTTGAGGATTCTTAATCTCTGACAGGGAAAACACGGTGTTTTTGCAATTTACACAAACGGGGAAGCGTGAATTATCAGCTGTCATCAAGATGATTTTCTGGATGTGGGTTTCTCCCATAAATATAGAAAGTGCTCCTCCAATTATACCGGGAGGTTCATGCGCCATACTCCCTCTCATCACACACTACCGGTATCACTGATTGGGTGGAAGGGAACGTTTCCTACACCCCATTCTTGTTCTTTTACACGTTGACTTCCACATTACAATTTTTCCCCCCTTGAGGCCATGGTGTTATATTACAAAATAAAATAAAAATAAAAAAAGATAATTTTTAATGTTATTGGCTATTTTTTATTATTTATTGTGCCCTTGGGTGGGCCATTGGGAGCTGGGCAATAGGAGGTGAGGAGGAAAGGCTGATTGCCATGGAAACAACAGGCAGTAGTTTCATAGTTGAGGCCCTGGCTCATAGTCAGCGTGAGTTAAATACAACTCACATGGCAGTTAATGTGTTCAATTCTGCCCCTGTGAAGTAATCACATTTGGCTTCCTCCACCACCAGCCCTGGGCTCATTTTGGTTCTATTGGTACTCTCTCCTCTGTTTGGCCTTTCTTTCTTTTTTGAAACGGAGTCTCTGTCACCCTGGGTAGAGTACTATGACATCATAGCTCGCAGCAACCTCAAACTCTTGAGCTCAAGTGATCCTTTTGCCTCAGCCTCCCAAGTAGCTGGGACTACAAGCACCTGCCATGACACCCAGTTATTTTTACAGACGGAGACTCACTCTTGCTCCGGCTGCTTTCCAACTCCCGAGCTCAAGCAATCCACCTGCCTCAGCCTCCCAGAGTGCCACTGTGCCTGGTCCCTCTGTCCTGCTTTTGAACTTAAAGGAAAAACATAGTTAAGTATTTAATTTTTTTTCTTTAAATGTTCCATATGCTACTCTTATTTTCATAGTTAAGATAAGTACCTTAAAATATAGGGACAGAATCAAGTGGTGAAGAGGCAACCGAATGCATTGCTGGTTTGGGTGTAAGACGGGGCTGTCCAACCTGCAGCCCTTGTGAGGACAGTTTTTGCTTATCCACGGAAAGTACACATGGACCTTTTTTTGTTGCCAATCAGTTTTCTTAAGTGTTTGTGTATTTAGTTTTCCTGTGTGACTCAAAGCAACTCTTACTCTTCCAATATGAGGCAGAGGAAAAAACAAAAAGATTGGACACCCCTGTGTAGAGAGAGAGACACTGGAGAGTTCATTTCATTAGAGTATTCTAATCACCAAAAGTAAGATAAAGAAGTTTCGCTTATCAGACTCTGCCTACCGCCCTGCGTCTATGAAGCCTCTGTGGACAGATGGCTGAGCCTGTCCACCTCACTGTTCTCACGCCTGCAAGGTGGGGTGCGGGAGCGTGCTTGGCCTCTGCAAGGTGGGGTGTGGGAGCGTGCTTGGCCTCTGCAAGGTGGGGTGTGGGAGCGTGC